TTAGTTTTTTACACATGTTGTCAAAAGCAAACCTGACTAAATATGCGGATATAGAGTCTAATTTTGGACGTAAAGAGAGCCGAGAACAAGAGGAAACTTCCGAGGCCTTACGCTGCGTCATCTCAATGGCACGGAGGAGGACTGACCGGCGGCTTTGAGGAGATAATCGGGCCTGAGCCTCAAGTGCCGGCGGGGCTGCGGCTTCAGGCCAGCAGGTGCTTGGTGGGGTATTTAATGTCTTTTGAGATATTCACACACACACACACACGCATGCACGCACAAGCACACACACGCACGCACGCACGCGCACACACACACACACACACACACACACACACACACACACACACACACACACACACACACACACATACGCATACACACACATACATACATATATATATTTACATATGTATGTATGTATACAGAGCATGCAGACATACGTACAAACAGTGCATACACACTGTAATTATATTACAGTGCACTTGCTGGGTACCACTTTTGTAAATGTGGCAACAACTTCTATGTAAACAGAGAAATAGTAGTTTTATGAATGAGGCGAAATCTCTAGGCTGTTTGTAACATAGAGTGTGATTGGTAGAACATAAATAGCCAATACGTATATTAATATAAAAATTTGAAGATAAGTTAGCCATTTAATCTTTCACTTTCTTCATGTAATTGAAACATGTAGTATTGGGATATTTTACAAATGCGATTTCCTGGAATTGTTTTCTTATCGAATTGTTAACACTTCTGGAGGTAAGGCGACATTTCCTCCTTCTCTCAACACAAGTATCAGTCATAGCTGCATATTTCAAATAAAAATCTCTGCAAAATCGCTGAGACATTGTAAGTGCTTCTCGTAGCTGCTAATCGAACCAATGAAGTGACTGAGTAAACAGAAGACATGCTACATTATTCTACATTATGCTATATTCTTCATTATAGAAAATCAACTGAACGCAAAACCGCAGTAGGGCTACAGTGTGTATATATAGACGCTTTATCATTGTGTATATGCGTGCAGAATCAATGGAAATACGAAATTAAAACTTGGTGATGAGTTACGAAACTGTATATTTCGCTTCGGTTATTCTGAATGCCCATTATCTTGTGCTAAAATCTGAATATAGTTTTCGCTATCATATTTCCAATTATGCTTTGCTTATGTGAGGAGACGCATCCACATTCGAACAGCTAAGCGAGAAAATACATGTTTGATTGTTTCAACTCAAGTAGTAGTAGGTGGATGGTTTCTAGGAGGGTGAATATCAAAAGGAAAAAAAGAGCCATGACTCCCAATACATTTGCTTTAAAATATATGATAAAAAAAATATATATTTTCTCATTTTGACATGTTTACGAACTGGTAAAGTGACTTGAGTATTTTCTTTTCGTCAGATCCAAACGATGATTCAATAAACAGAAATATACTACGTTATAATCATTTTAGAGCATTAAAAAAGTTCAAAAGATCTTAATAGCAAAAGAAATAATATGTGACAAGAGTATAACAGGTGATGGTGATGATGTTATTATAGATAATATAGTAATAATAATGATAATACTAATAATGATGATAATAACACTAATAATAATGATAACAACAACAATGTTAATGCTAATGTCAATGGCAATAATAACAAAAAAATACTACTACTATGATAACATAAAGAGTCTCATGTAATTCGACAAATTGAAACTACGGGAAAGAAAAGTAACCATAATGATGCAAATCAATAATAACATATATAACAATAATCATCATAATAACTTTACGAACGATAAACATTATATTCGAAACTATGAAAAATCTACCTTTTTCAATAAGAGTGATAGGGAATGTAATGGTGATGATTTGGGTTGATATGAAGACAATAAGAGCATCGTTTGTGATGAAAAGCACTAGACACTAAAGATAGTAGTAGTAGTAGTAGTAGTAATGATATTCATCATGAAAAGTAATAATTCTGATACGATAATAAAGTAAACAACAATAGCATTGATATAAATAATAGTATTAACAATATAGTTACAACAATAACGTTGATGTTGATAATTGATCATGATAATGATGTTGTTGTTGATAATGAGAATATTAATAATAGTAATAATAAAGACAATGTTCTTAATAAGAATGAAAATTGTAGTGATACTGATAATAATGCTAAAGACTAAAATTATTATTATGCAAATCATAATAATAGCAACGATAATAGTAATAACAATTATGGGTACTTTTATCATAATCTTCATAGTAATAACGAAAGTGTTGATAATGATAATGATGACAATGATAATAAAAACTAATAATATTGACAGCATAAAAAATGATAACAAAATTTACAATAATAATGCAATTATGATGATCATTGCAACACATAATAACAACAATGATTGAACAATAACAATTGCAACAGTTATAATAATACTAATGATAATGATAATAATAGTAATAATAATACTGATAATTAACAAGACCAACAACGACAACCACAATAAATTTAACCATGGCAATGAAAGTAAGGAGAAACACACACAAGAGAAAGTGAAAATTAAGTAAGAAGTATGACTATGAAAATAATCGCAATGATAATGATAATGATACAGGTAAATCATTACAAGTAAATCATTAATGATCGTGATAGAACGATGCTTATAATGAATATGATGAAACTGTAATGCTAATAAGGACAATAATCAGGATAGCTATTATGAAAATTATGATAATAGTAACGATAATTATAACAATGAATATGATAATAACGAAAGTTAATGATGATAATGATAATGATAATGATGATAATGGTAATGATAATAATTATAATGGTAATAATGGTTATGATGATAAGAATAAAATGATAATAATTATAATAACAAAATAATAATAATAATGATAATAATAATAATAATAATAATAATAATAATAATAATAACAATGGTAATACCAATTACAGCAAAAACAACTAATACAAGGAAAACAAGAACAACAATAATGACAGTAACGATAATAATAATAATGATATTAATGAAAATTACAATAAGCCAGCAAGAACAACACCAAGAAAAATATTCATGGCAATAAAAGTATTACTGAAGAAATGTTAAAGTAGAAAAGACTAAGGTAGATCACAGGAGATATGACTCGTAGCTTAATTTGCATAACTGACTAATAAAAATCTGATTTAAACAGAAGTATATATTTATTTACGTGTGTTTGTGTGAAAAAAAACACAAACGAAAGGGCCATAAAAGAGACCAACGGCGCCTACGTGGAAGTTTTACTACTTGGCTTGGAAGGGATTTGATCGCCGGCCTTCCGCGTGGGAAGCAGCGACCGTATCCATTCCGCCATCGGTCTCCAGTAGGATTTGGATGCTGTTTGTCGATTTAAATTAAATATTTCTCGCGTTAATTACTGATCAATTTAATTTTTTAGTGCTTTCGTGTGTGTGTGTGTGTGTGTGTGTGTGTGTGTGTGTGTGTGTGTGTGTGTGTGTGTGTGTGTGTGTGTGTGTGTGTGTGTATGTGTGTGTGTGTGTGTGTGTGTGTGTTTGTGTGTTTGTGTGTGTGTGTGTGTGTGTGTATGTGTGTGTGTGTGTGTGTGTGTGTTTGTGTGTTTGTGTGTGTGTGTGTGTGTGTGTGTGTGTGTGTGTGTGTGTGTGTGTGTGTGTGTGTGTGTGTGTGTGTGTGTGTGTGTGTGTGTGTGTGTGTGTGTGTTGGATTGATAAGACGATTTTTTTTCTTCAATTTTTTGTTTGTTTTTTACTGATACCTATCCCCTTTCCTTCGTGACCTTAAAAACTGCAATATCCGTGAAGCAATAGTCACCAGCAAGGATGAATGGGGCTTTCACGCGATCTATGGACTCTCTCTTTCTCTTTCTTTCTCTCCTTCGCTTTCTCCTATTTTTCTTTCTCTTTGTTCTCTCTCTCTCTGTTCCGTTCAGTCAATTTACCTCACACTCTTTCTCATCTCCCCTCCCCCCCTCTCTCTCTCTCTCTCTCTCTCTCTCTTTCTCTTTCTCTCTCTCTCTCTCTCTCTCTCTCTCTCTCTCTCTCTCTCTCTCTCTCTCTCTCTTTCTCTTTTTTTCTCTCTCTCTATCTATCTATCTCTAAAACGTAAATCGTGGAAATTCAGCTGCTTTAATTTTCATGAGGTATACATACTTTTCATCGGTCATAATACGTAGTAATACCGCGTCCCCGCAAAGGGAGGATTATTATTGAGGATATAGAGTACAGTAAACCCATACATGTGCGTACAAATATATACATATATATATATATATATATATATATATATATATATATATATATATATATATATATATATATATATGTATATATATATGTATGTATGTATGTATGTATATATTTATCGTGGTATGTACCGGAAAAATATTCTTGAGAATCTTCATGAAGATGTACAGGGAGTTAATCTTGGGCCATGTATAATATCAGACGTCGTGTCAAAAATAATTCCAGGCCACACTACTAACCCGGCCACGCAATGATCACATGTCCAGGCTACGACCCAATTACATCCCCCGGGACTGAGCTCTCAAGAGGACGAGGGAGGTCAAAGGAGAAACAGCACAGTCTTCGCCTTAAACGTTTATCTCCCGGCCAGAGATAGATTTCCCCATCCTGCCTGGGCGTCTCGCTGCCAAACTGGCCACCATTTCCTGCAACATGGATGCGCCGCTCCCTCACACTCACAGTTAGGTGTGTTATGTCACGCACGGTTCCCTTATTACTCACCAGATCATTATGGGTTCTTTACCAACAAAGGACTGCTTATAATAATGCCATACTCACTTGTAGATGTTTAACCACACACCTAGAGAGAAATACATTACACTCACTCTTAACAGGCGTGCGTATTTCCCAATAGATACAGGAGCTTGAGGAGTACAGAAGTTCGTAAATATTAAAACAAAGCACCTTCACCTTCCTCGGAAACACGAACAAGCAAACAAGGCCATTAAAACTTACCGTTGAGCCTTTGTGCGTTTTCTCTCTTTCTCTCCTCGTCTTCGTCCGCCCGATGCGCCTTCTCCGCCTGCTCCTGCGACCGCTGGCTCTTCTCCACGATGGCACACGCTCGCAGGACGTACGTGAGGACAGGCTCTTGCTTCTCCTGACGGGGGATGTCCAGCAGCTGCCAGTATTCCGTCTCGAGCCTCACCACCTCCTGGAGAAGGGGGGAGGGGTGAGTGGAGGAGGTTCCGGTCTTTGGCTTGAACTCCGAGGTTTAGATGCTCCCCCCCCCCCCCACTCTCTCTCTCTCTCTCTCTCTCTCTCTCTCTCTCTCTCTCTCTCTCACTCTCTCTCTCTCTCTCTCTCTCTCTCTCTCTCTCTCTCTCTCTCTCTCTCTCTCTCTCTCTCTCTCACTCTCTCTCTCTCTCTCTCTCTCTCTCTCTCTCTCTCTCTCTCTCTCTCTCTCTCTCTCTCTCTCTCTCTCTCTCTCTCTCTCTCTCACTCTCTCTCTCTCTCTCTCTCTCTCTCTCTCTCTCTCTCTCTCTCTCTCTCTCTCTCGTTCACTCCCTTCCTCCCTTCCTCCCTTCCTCCCTCTCTCCTCTCTCCCTCTCTCCCTCTCTCCCTCTCTCCCTCTCTCCCTCTCTCCCTCTCTCTCTCTCTCTCTCTCTCTCTCTCTCTCTCTCTCTCTCTCTCTCTCTCTCTCTCTCTCTCTCTCTCCCTCCCTCCCTCCCTCCCTCCCTTCCCCCTCTATCTCTCCCTCCCTCCCTCCTTCTCTCCTTCCCTCCCTTCCCCCTCTCCCTCCCTCTCTCAATCTATCTTCCTCTATCTCTATCAGGGAATGACAATATTGAAGAAGAAAATCAAAATAAAACGAACGATAGCAAATTAACACTGCGAGAATATATATAGCTGAAAGGTAACAAAATTTATATTAGAAAAGATGATATCAGCACATAATATGAATGCAGGATCACTGCACTGAAAATGACCAACAATTTATCATTATAAACTTTGCAGAGGATGAAATCAGGTCTTATTTCCGAGTTGAATTAAGCGTGCACTTCATTCGCAGGAAGAGATATTGCAGGGAAGGCATGGATACACAGTTTTCACATGTACAGTATGTTTTGCAAATTCTGTGAAATTTCGTGTTGAGTACAGCCACGCACAATCGTTATCGATATAATGCGCTTTTTATTATTATTTTTTTATCAGGTTGTGACTTTCTTGGGTAACCAAGGAGACGAAAATACTGATGACCTCATCAATATGCAAATGAGCACATCGAAGTTTAATAGGTTCATTAACTGTTCACAATGCATATATAATAATGCTTCGGATTTTTTAAATGATGTAAAGATTTTAATGGGTCCTTTTGCAGGCAGATATCACATTCCAGGCAGGACTTGCATACTATGATGATCATTATTACAAATCAGGAATCATAGACTGATGCAATGCCCTTTTAGAACGGACAAAGTCGTTGGACGAACTTCACACAATGCCCGTTTTTTTATATTTTTGCAAACACACACACACACACACACACACACACACACACACACACACACACACACACACACACACACACACACACACACACACACACACACACACACACTCACACTCACTCACTCACTCATTCACTTTCTCACGCATGCACTAAAAAAAAAAAAAAATTAACTAGTAATTAATGCGAGAAACATTGAATTCAGATAGACCAATAGCATTAAATTTCCACTGGAGACCGATGGCGGAATGGATACGGTCGCTGCTTCCCACGCGGAAGACCGGCGATCAAATCCCTTCCAAGCCAAGTGGTAAAACTTCCACGTAGGCGCCGTTGGTCACTTTTATGGCCCTTTCGCTTGTTTTTCACATAATCACACGAAAATAGATATGTATTTCTGTTTAGATCGGATTTTCATTAGTCTGTCTGTCATATAAATCAGGCTAGGAGTCATATCTCATGTTTCTACCTTATAAGTTTTTTTTCTGCCTCTTCATTAATAATCTTGTTTCCATGATTCAAAGTTAGATCATCAATCACGATTTACGCTTGTATGATATTTCGTAATTTCAATAATATCTTTATATCTGACTGCATTATTGATATTTGTACAGTATATGTCTATTTCTTAACATGACAATTAAAATACAACTGTAGTTAAGAATGTTACAAAATTCATTATCAGCAGAAAGTAAATACAGCTTAATATTTATCATAATTACATCAAACTGAACTAATCACTTCTTTTACAAATGTTGCACAGATAG